CACTTGAGGGAGAATCCCTTTCCTCTTCCATAGGAGCACCCACCGCCTCTCCTACCTAGCTGTGGGTGGGTGGCCTTCGTGCCTCCTTGACCTCAATTAGGTGGCAAGTCTTTAAGGATGGGGTGCCCTGATTCTGTTTTTTTAAATTCCCAAATGCCTCAAATGGCACCCCCTCCCCCACAGAAGAGACTCCCCAAGTATTCTGGGGAAGGAAAGGCATTTATCCCCACTGGGTGGGGGTTTTAGAGATTCATCAACTCTTGCTTTGTGCCCGGTGACCTTGCTTGATGTGACGGCTGTCAATTAGCTCTCCACTCAGTCTGTGTGCAGACTAGAACTGGGCTCCATAGGACTTTCAAGACTGTCATCTTTGGGAAGTAGGTCTCCAGGCTTTTCTCCCGCAGCACCTCTGAGTGGGGTCACAGTGTTGACCTTTGGGCTAGTTGTCGAGTGCCTTACCATTGGCTCCACCCAGGGCCTCCTACTGTTGTTATCCTGATGAATAAGGCGTGGTGTTGGAAGGTAAGACAGAAGACACTATATAAGGTGCCTAAGACTTTACATTTTTACATTGCTCATCTTTCTCCTGTCGAGCGGCTAGTGGATTTGAACCTCGAACCTTGCGGTTAGCAGTCCAGTGCTTAGTCTACAACACCATGAGTCCATGGGGGATGTGGCACTCAACTATATTTCAGCCAAAAGCTTGGTGGTTCAGACTCATAACTCAGAGGTGGTTCAGAAGACAGGCCTGGCCAGAGAATAGAAGGGAAGTGTAGAGGAGGCTGCTGGGAATTGCAAACCTGCTGAAGGCAGTTTGGAGGACGATGCTGGACATTGGTTCACTTGGCAACCTTTCCAGGAATGGCCCCTCTTTCGTGGAGCAGGCGGCTCTAGGCCAGTGTCTGGAGTATGTGTACCTTATGCCAGACCATCAGCCCTTGGAGGCTCAACTCAGAGACTTCTAATTCTGGCTGTACCCCCAGCTCGCTGTAGCTAAATCCTTCAGGTCTGCTTCTTATTGTCAAGGATACATAGTTGAGGAAGAATCCTCAGGAAGAGAGGCCTATCCCCTACTTGACTCAGAGGGCCGAAGCTATCATTTCTGGATGAAGCCCTCCCCAGACCACAGGCCGCGGGGAGGGCAGGGCTACCTGGCGGTAGGAGCATTCAGTTCTGGTGGCAATGACAGGAAGTGAGATGTGCAGTGAGCAGGTAGCTACCAAGGACCCTGTGGAAAGTGGTCTCTTCAGAAAGGATTTTGTGAGACAAAGCACAATGAATGTAGGGAAAAGGGACCTAAAAGTGACAACTAGTACTTTTTTAGAAAGAACATAAATACCTACCTGTTGGGGGATGATTATAAAAAAGGATGATGGATCTACTGTGTGCATTCGGATAGAGCTGTGGAAGTAAAGAGTTCTGGTGTGGCTCCCTAGGACAAGAGCTGGACAGTTAAGTTCAAGGCTGGAAATTCAAACCCACCACTCCTCCCGGGGAACACGATGTAAGGTCGGAAGTCACAACATCAGAAGACAGAGACTTCCTTTGGTGAGCATGGGAGCTTACCGTACACTGTTCAGTGAAAGGCTGCATACAATATACACACACTTAGCACAATCCCGTTTTATATAAAAAAAATATGTGTATTTGTATATGTAAATAGATGGGCGGGTCTCCAGTACAAAAATTGGCACTTGAGAGTGATTTTGATTGTTTTATGGATTAGTCTTCTGTTGGTTCTTGTTGCTTTAAAAATGTTTATGTAATTCTTGATGTCCGATTTCAGCTAAAACAGAGGCATATAAAGTTAAAACTATGATTTACTGTTTAGTCTCCCCATTCCACTTTCCTGGCCAAGGTTTCATAAGTATTGCAGATATTTTTCTATGCCTATATTTACACACATTTATTTACATATGAAAAACCACATCACTTTTTACGCCTGTGAGATATTGATTTATATGTGTCTGCAGGCTGACTCCCATTAAGTGTGCCCTAACTTTACACTCACATAAAATTAGGTGGTCTCTTAACCACGGCACTACCAGGCTTCCATGTATGACAGACAATCTCATTTAAAATAGGAAGTGTTCATGTTCTGCTGAGTGGGGTCCAGGATCCTGGAGCCCATGACTTGGGGTTTGGACTTAACTCACTAAGAAAGGTCGGCGGTTCGAGCCCACCAGCTGCTCCATGGGAGAAAGATACAGCAGTGTTTTTCAGTAAAGATTGTTGTTAAAGTGCTGTCGAATTGGTTCTGGCTCACAGTGACCCTGTATAGGATTTCTGAGAAGTGGCTAGTGAGTTTGAACTGCTGATTTTAGGATTAGCAGTTTAGTGTTTATTAATCACAGCGCCACGCCAGGACTCTGGGTAGAGATTACAGCCTTGGTAACCCCATGGGGCAGTTCTACTCCGTCGCTATGAGTCAGAAAGAACTCGGTTTCAATGATTTTTTTATTTTTATGTTTTTGAGGAGTGGGCTTTGTCAAATAATACTTTTTTCCCCCTGGAATTAGCCCCTGCTTGTTTCCATAATACATGAAAAGGACTGAAATGACCAAAGTGATTGTGTAGCTTTTTATTTTACTCTCCATTTGCCTTTGCTGAGAATACGAGGACTACACTGTCTAGTCTCCTCTTAGCCTCCTATCCTGACACTGACCAGAACTTTCCGTAGGTGGGGCATGGGGAGTTCACAGGGGATAGGCCGGTTGGTTTGTGGATCAATAATTGATCTTTGTGAGATGGATCAGTGGGGGCTCTCTGCTTTCTCTCTGGGGACCCCCTGGACAGTGATTCCCCATCCTGCCCCTGTAAAGAGCCTCACTGTGCAGGACTGAGGACAGCTGAGTGGGCGGGTTCCTACAGCATAAATAATGTTCTGGCTCCGAGGACTGGATTAGGAAACCCAGATTTCCTTGTCTCGAAGGCAGGGGCAGAAAGGGAAGGTGTGGATGGGACCCCGAGTCATTTCCCTACTGCCCTGATCCTCGAGAACACTGAAGTTTGTGGAAAAATGGAATTGAAGACAATGGAATTTTCCCACAAATTTTTGAAACCCCTTTTTATTTGCCTGATCATTCTAGCAAGGGGCAGGAATCTTTTTTTCCCTAATCCTGTTTGGTCTGGCCTCTGTGCGTCTGCATCCAGAACACGGGCCAGGCCAACAGAAGTGATCATTCCTCTCTGTCCTGTTCTGTCCGGCCAGTTTGAGATAGATGATCATTCTGTAGGCTCCACTGGCTGTGCCAGGGGCAGGCTGGGAGCCGCGCCAGGCGCCATCCTTCTCTGCGTCTACCCAGCTCTGCCCAGCTGTGGCGGCCCGCCATCCGAGCTCCTGTGTTTCCAGAGACTTGGGGTCAGATGAGGGCACACGTGACAAAGGGCTTTATAAACCAGGCTGCACTACAGATGGAAGGGCTGTACTTCATGACAAGGAAAGTGGGTCACTGTGTGAGAACCAAGATGAGGCCACGGCCAAGTCCAGCCAGAACTGCTGCTCCTAGGACCCTGGGGTGCAGGGGAGGAGCTTCCAGTAGAAGGCCCTCCAAGTGGACAGATGAACCAAAGGCAGCCCTGGCCACTCTTGTGGTCAGTATAAAGAAGAAACCAACAAAACCCATTACCAGTAAATTGACTGACTCACAGTGACCCCATGTGTTGTAGAGTGGAAGTGCTCCATAGGGCTTTCTTGCCTGTCAGCTTTACAGAAGGACCCTGGTGGTCATACAGTAGCTTAAAATGCTCAGTTGCTGACCCAAAAGTGGGCTGTTGGGTCTCACCAGCCAAGATGACAGTCTGGGAAGCCCTGAGGAGTCACCATCGACGTGATGGCAGTGGGGCTTTAATCTCATGGAAGCCGATTTCCAGACCTTCTGTAGCGCCACTGGGTGGGTTCGAACTGCCAACACTTAGGTGACTAGTTTATTTTATCCAGGGACCTTCACAGGTCTATGGAGAAGAAGTCACTAGCAGACACCGTGGTTGGTTCCGTGTGGTGGAATTCTAAGTGGGCATCGATCTCATGGGAGTTGAGGGTGGTATTAGGTCTGCAGGGAGCACCCATGAGAAAACTGTCAGCCTGTCCACAAAGGTAGCAGGTGGTTATTTCTGGGCTTTGGGTCTTGGCACAAAGTTGTTCTGAAAACAGTTGAGCAAATAAAGTAAGGGAAAACCATTGGGACAGGTGGCTGGTTGTCCTTTGTTGAAAATGACATGGCAAACCCAGGGTCTGCAGATTTGGGGTGCAGTCCAGTTGTGGGAGGGTCTTCCACACATCTGGCCCTGTTTCCAGTGATTGTCAAAACTACATCTTGGGGCATCCCACGAGTGGTCCAGGTGTATGTAAATTTTGCGAAAGGTTAAAAAAAAAAAAAATGCAGTTGTATTTTTCATGCAGATTTGGAAGAGAATTTAAAATGTTTTCAAGACCCCAAGGCTGGACAAATTGTCTCAGAGCTGTGCACGCCATGGATCAACTAACTCCCCCATTTTCTGGGAGGAAAGAAATGGGTGTTTTCAAGAACACAGCCTTGAAAACATCAGAAAGCAAACACTGCTTCTCTGAGGAATGCGTAGATTCAGATTCGGATGTGCTGTGTGCTTGCAGCATTCTGTTATAAGCTTGTTGTCCTTTGCTTCTTTCTTTGCAAAGACTCCTTCATTCCCACACCTCCAGGTGCCATCAAGTCGGCTCATCTCATGGTGCCCTGTGCGTATCAGAGCAGAATCCTGTGCAGGTTTTTCCAAAGTAGTTTGCCAGGCCTTTCTTTCTGGGTACCTCTGGGTGGACGTTCAACTTTTCAGTTATCAGCTGAGTGCGTGAACTCTTTGGAGTACGCAGAAAGCCATCTCTGAAGATGCTACAGAGCTCAAGTGTAGCTGCTGGGCCTATCGGGGTGCTGTCTGAAACTTGGATTTCTCCTCATGACACACTTTTTCTCATCTCTCTGGCTTTTTGTTTTCTAGCAGGTCAATTGCTCGGCCCCTTCAAAACCATGGAAATGCATCTCTTCGACTACACGGAGCCAGGGAATTTCTCCGACCTCAGCTGGCCATGCAACAGCAGCGACTGCATCAGTGTCGACACGGTGATGTGCCCCAACGTGCCCAACAAGCGCGTGCTCCTCTACATGCTGTCCTTCATCTACATCTTCATCTTTGTCATCGGCATGGTTGCCAACTCCGTGGTAGTCTGGGTGAACATCCAGGCCAAAACCACGGGCTTCGACACCCACTGCTACATCCTCAACCTGGCCATCGCTGACCTGTGGGTGGTCCTCACCATTCCCGTCTGGGTGGTCAGCCTACTGCAGCATAACCAGTGGCCCATGGGTGAGCTCACCTGTAAGGTCACGCACCTCATCTTCTCCATCAACCTGTTCGGCAGCATCTTCTTCTTGACATGCATGAGTGTGGACCGTTATCTCTCCATCACCTACTTCACCAACACCTCCAGCAGCAAGAAGAAGATGGTACGTCGCATTGTCTGTGTCCTGGTATGGCTGCTGGCCTTCTGTGTGTCCCTGCCTGATACCTACTACCTGAAGACCGTCACGTCGGCTGCCAACAATGAGACCTACTGCCGCTCCGTGTACCCGGAGCACAGCATCAAGGAATGGCTCATCGGCATGGAGCTGATGTCTGTGGTGCTGGGCTTTGCCATTCCTTTCTTCATCATCGCTGTCTTCTACTTCCTCCTCGCCAGGGCTATCTCAGCATCGGGTGACCCTGAAAAACACAGCAACCGGAAGATCATCTTCTCCTACGTGGTGGTCTTCCTCGTCTGCTGGCTCCCCTACCATGCCGTGGTGCTGATTGACATCTTCTCCATCGTCCATTACATTCCGTTCACCTGTCAGCTGGAGAACTTCCTCTTCACAGCCCTGCATGTCACCCAGTGTCTGTCCCTGGTACACTGCTGTGTTAACCCTGTGCTCTACAGCTTCATCAACCGCAACTACAGGTACGAGCTCATGAAGGCATTCATCTTCAAGTACTCGGCCAAAACCGGCCTCACCAAGCTCATCAGTGCCTCCAGGGCATCCGAGACTGAATACTCTGCTTTGGAACAGAACACCAAGTGACGGGTGCCCGGGGCTCTGGGACCCTTGTGTTTGTGCGTAAGGGCTGCAAGCTCTTCAAGGTAGCGCAGAGGAGCTTCCTTTGTGTCCTGAGGCTCGGGAAGAGGAAACACATGTGGTGGGACATCCCTCCTCTCTGTTCTCTCTCTCTCACGCTGACGACGTGGCTGTTTCTGGGCCGTTCTGCTTTCTGATAATTTTGCACCATGTGGAGCAAATGCAAAGTGTCAAAGCCAGCTTCAGGACCAGCCTGCTCCAGCTTCTGTAAAATAAGACTTTCAGAATTCTTTCTTTTTTTTTTTTTTTAATATGGTGATTTGTATTTAAATTGTAAGACTTTATTTTCTCACTATCGGTATACCTTTATAAATGCATCGGAAGGCTAAATATATTTTCAATATTGTTTGGGAGGTATTATGCGGACGTGTACTCGGAGTGTTTGTAGGCTAGTGTGCCTTCAGTTTTGACTACGGATGACATTCAATGTTAGCTGTTTTGAAATCATATAAATATATATAAATATATAAATATATATGAGTCTATGCCAGTGTTGGCTGAAATGTTTTATTTCCGATAGTTTTATATCTGTGTGGTGGGAGTATGGACATACTGCTGCTCAGTAAGGCAGTTTATGACCTGAACAGTATTGTAAAGTTACATTAAAAAGCAAAAAAAACAAAAAGCTGTCTCGGGGTGCACTGCTATGCAGAAACAGACAGTCATATTTCAGAGAGTTTGCTCCAGTTTGTAAGTTATTATTTTGAATAAAGTTTGCTTTTCCCCCCTGAAAATGACATTTGCGTCTTGGTTCTAAAAACATATTTTGGAATGGAAGTAACTACTTCGCCCACAACCTTCGAGACGATTCCACTCAGAGGACAGAGTAGGACAGAGACGTACTCACTCGGGTTTCCGAGGATGCACGTGTGTAACGGAGTAGACAGTCTCTTCTCCCTACAGAGTGGCTGATAGGTTTGAAACATCACCTTTCAGTTAGCAGTTGAACGCTTAATCCACTGTGCCACCAGGCCTTGTATGGAATGAAGGTGGTGTGTCTACACTGGTAGTTGTTGTTAAGTTGAGCCGGTTCTGACCCATAGCAACCCTGTATAGGGTTTCTGAGGAGCGGCTGGTGAGCTTGAACTCCCGACCTTGCAGTTCAAACTGACTTTGCAGTCCAACGCAGTAACCCACAGCGTCACCGCAGGACTATATACACTGGTATACACCGGTATTTAGGGCATAGATTAAAATCAGTTATGACAAGTTGATTCTGACTCACAACCCCACGTGTGCCAGAGTTTTAACTGTTCCAGAGGGTTTCCCATGACTGAGTTTTGGTCACGTTGCCAACCCTTTCTTCTGACACATCTCTGAGTGAATTCGAACCTTCAACCGTTCTGTTAGCAGCTTAGTGTTTGAACCACCCTGGGACTCTGTGGTCTCTCTAGACCAACCTGATAAATATGTTTTATAAAAGAATAAAACAGGGTAAGATAAGCCTTGGAATATATCATACTAACCATAAGGTAATAAATATTCAATAGTCATTACTTCCAAAGAAAAACAGAAACTTGATCAGAACTGAACAGCTCCTTGGTGACAGGATGGATAGCATTTACTCATATTGCTTCAGCATTTGGTGCTCATTGTAAAGTTGTTGGTAACATTTGCAGTTGGAAAATTCTAGAGCTGAAAGGGGGCACATTTTTATTGCACAAGCAATGAGCTGTTCTTTTTTACGGGAAATTTTATTTCCTTTACATTTGTTCTTTGTACTAGTTTATGGAAGTATGAAATTGGTCATTGATTATAAAGAAAAAGAAAATGAAAAATACTAAATGTCTGGTGACAAAACCCCCCAAAACCATAAGCACTGGCCTGCTAACCACGAGGATGGCGGTTTGAGCCCACCAGCTGCTTCCCAGGAGGAAGATGAGGCTTTCTGCTCCCTTCTCAAAAGATTTATGGCCTCAGAAACCCTATAAAAAGGGTCTGGTGTGGTGATGTAACGTAAACACTGCCAACTGGTAGTTCAAGCCCACCTGGTTGCTCCTGGGAAGCCCTACACATATTCGCTAAGTCAGAATTGACATAAAGGCACTTAACAACAACAGGAGCACTCACTAGTCTCCCATGCTATTGTTTAGTGTTTAACCTCCCACCTTATGAATTGAAATCTACTTGATGACACTTATCAACAGCAACAACAACAAACTAAACTATAAAGGTAAAAACCCATGGGGTTAATGTGGATGAAATGATAGAGCAGGAAAAGTCTTTGAACACATTCAGTGATTTCTGATAAAAATGTTGCAGGCAGTGATGTGTTGGGTCAGGAGATGGCGGGTTGGGTGGCCCAGGAAAGGCCCACCAGCTGTCTGCCCCAGGTGTGTCAGAGAACTGCCCTTCATGGGGGTTTCAGCTGCTGATTTTCCCCTCGACCCCCAGGCCTTTCTTCCAAAGAGCCTCTGCTTGTACTTGAACCTGTAACCTTCTGATTAGCAACAGAGAACCGAGACTGCAACTTCTTTTAAATATTTACTGGATGCATGCCTTTGCTGGCTCCAAATAGAATTCCTATCTCCAATAATGTCAATGGTATCACGATAACATAACAAAAGGCAAAAATATCAAGAAGGGCATGACGAGAGGAACAGCAGCCTGACACGGGAGGGGTTAGGAGCCCCCCTGTGCATGGATGGGATGAATGAAAAGCTCACCACTGAGCTCCCTTGTGGTCCAAGGTCAGACTCTTCAATTACTGAATTCAAGGTGGGGAGGAGGGTGGGGCTGTATTCCTGATAGATGTAAAATAACATAATAAAACTTGAGCTGTATGTTGGTCCAGGCTCCATCTTGGTCAGTTCATACTCCCACCCCTTTACCATGGGATTGTTTACTAGCTCTGGGGAGAGGCGGTGTCAGTGGTCCACGCTGCCATCTGTTGAGATGCCCTCTGCCTGTCTGATCCCTGCTGAAGTCTCCTTCCTTGTCCCCCTACTCCGGGACCTGTTTCTAGACCAGTGCCTGGAGACCTCCCAGCACCCCTTCAACATTGGGGTGCTGATGGGAGGAGGAGGGAAGTGTGCATCTGCACTGGCTCTTCATGTCCCCACAGGCTCCCTGGAGACAGCCTCTTTTGTCCCAGCCCCCATAGAGCCTCCAGGGCCACTCTCTCCATGAGGTGGGTTCCATTCTTTCTGCTCTTTCTAGAAACTCTTTTGCTCTGGACACGGAAGAGCGACTCGACTCATCCCAGGTCCCTCCAGATCTCTGGTTTGTGAAATGCAAAGACCTTTGATTTGGGCTGTAACAATCTTACCTGGAGTGCTGAAACCATATAGCCGTAGGTAGGCAAAGAGAATCAGCTTTAGACTCACAGTGAACCTAGACATTTTTTAAAGATTTTTAAGATTCCCTCTCATCCCCGTGGCTGCAGGAGTGGAGGCACACAGCCCATCGTCCTGGGGAATGTGGAGAAGATTCCCCATCTCTAAACCAGTTCCCTCACTGGTGGTCAGTTGGCCATAGCTCTTGTCCCATAGGGCGACTGTGAGAACCCTGTTTCCAAACCAGGTCACATTCACAAGCAGCAGGGCTGGGATTTCAGCATTTCATTTTTGGGGAATACAATTCAGTCTATGACAATTACTTTCCTTACACGCATAAGAACCATATTTTACCCATACAACACGCCCATGTAACCAAGGACCGCACACATATAACACACACACATATATAACAGGCACAGCATTCATAGGAAATTAATGAGCAAGAGGGTTGTGCAGTTTGCAAACCACACAATGAGTATATTATTTTTGTGAACATGCAATACTTCTCTATCTCTGCTAAAGGGTTATTACAGAGATCGAAAGAGAACATGGGTGTGAATAAATAATGTTGAAATCACTGGATAAAGGAATGGATAGAGCAGGGGTGGGGGGCATCCGGCCTGCAGAAGGTATGTTGTTGTTGTTAAGTACTGCGGAGTAGGTTCCAATTCATAGTGACCCTGCACAGGGTTTCCGAAGCAGTAAATCTTTACGTGAGTAGAAAGCCTCATCTTTCTCCTGCAGAACGGCTGTTAGTTTCGAACTATCAACCTTGAGGTTCGCAGCCTGATTCATAACCACTACACAGGTGGTATAAGACCAGCCAAATCATTTCGACCTGCCTTGTCAAGGTAACTACACTTCCAGCCATCACATTGTTGTTGGTAAGTGCTATCTAGTCAGTTCTGATCCAGTGACCCTGTATAAGGTTTCCGAGGAGTGACTGGTGAGCTTGAACTGCCGACCTTGTGCTTCAAACTGAACCTTTTGGTTCAGTGCTCTATCCCACAGTGCCACACTAGGAGTTCACATTAGGGTTAAGTTAATTAAATGTTTGACCAAACATAGGAGACTACGTTTTTTGTTTTTATTGTGAATTGAGTGTTAATTTACATGGGAGAACATCAGTTTCACACTCATCGTTTTATTGCGATGATTACAATCCCCTCCTTGTATCATCATTCAACAGGATTTGCTTCCATTCCTTCTGGTGTTTATTTTGGGGGTGGACAGTGATGGGGTAGGAATGTACACAAAAACACTCAGGAATATACAGTCATTTAAACAACCAAAGAGTACATTCTGCAAGCCTGCCTCCTGGCCGGCAGCACTCAGTCCCTCTCTTTGCTTGAGCCCAGAGTCCTCAGCGGCTCCCTCTCTCCATGTCCTGATCTCTGCCTCCATCTCTGCTGTGGCTGTTCCTCTTCTCCATGAGTTTTTTTTTTTTTTTTTTTTTTATTGTGAATTTATAGCTTAAATAGGGGAAGTGGGTTAACTTTTAAGTTGATACTTCAGTATGGTCAGTGTAGGGGGTTATAAGTTTTGGCAGAAAAAAAAAAGTTCCCCATCCTTGGGATAGAGTGCTTGGAGATCTGTGAAGGACCACACAAACATCCTTAGAAATACCCCAAATCCCTTGCATGATTCATGTTTACATCCCTTAACATG